ATATATATATATATATATATATATATATATAAAGCTCATTGTAAAATAAGAACATAATATGTATGCATTATGGAATTATCCAGACTAATTTAATCAATGTCAGCAACATTTTATGACACAGCGTCATAATTTAAAGTGTATGGAGTGAAGTTTGTCCCATTATTGTTGCAAGCAAAGATTATGTTTTGTAAACGAAAGAAAATGGAATCCAGAAAAGAAACGTTTAAAAACGTTTTAATCAAATCAAACACTGTTTTAATCCGCACATTGACCACAAAAAATGTTGCTACCCTCCATGCAGACCGATTTGAAAAAAGTGCGTTCCAAAAAAGAGGAGAATGTGATCTGTAAAACACAATTTTAAAAGAATGCAAATCATAAAACTCAACCACTGACAGAGAAATCTGAAAAAAACAAACAAAAATTTTTTAGGAAAAAAATAAATATAAAAAAATTTGGAAAAAAGTTAATTGTCAAAGTTTCATTTCTCGATTGCATTCATTTATTTTTTTTTCTGATTTACAAAATATGCTCTATAAAGATGCCATACTGTATATACCACTGTCACAGAATCATTTAAGGGCTTTTCAAAAGATGTTTTTTTTTATTGATACTGTAAGAACAATACATACTTTAATATTATCTATGTAGACACTGTCTGAGTTGATGAATGTTCACTCACCAAATTCTGTGAGCAGGACAAAAAAATTCCAGCAATCATTTTTTATTGATTCAGCCAATTATTATTTGACCTATTTTAGGAGATTTGTAATAAATTAAATGAAACCTGGAACAGTTGCTTTTGTTCCCAGAAATCTTCCTTCTATGTGTTTTTTTCTGAGCTTCTCTATAACATGGTGAGTGGTTCTTCCTTTAATTAGAGTGGTATTTACTGTGGAGTCAGCCATTGAATGTGGGGTCAAAGCCACTGTTGTAAAAATTAAGGCCGTGGATTTTGGATTAAACTATCAATGAATTGGCAATGTCTATGGAGTCACAATGACTGCACTTTCTAATCTTTTCTAGAGTGACCGTTAAGTCACTGAATCTGAAAGAGCTTTAGCCCACAGGCATTAAGAATTGAAAAAAAAAAAAAGTCTGCTTTCTGCATGCCTCCAGTTGTAATGCTCACAACAGCAAGGAACAAGAATGAACTTTCTTAACAGAAGCAGAAACACTATTCTCATCACAAAAAATGTTCCACTTTATATCTCCTTCTTCCAGACAAACTGATTGTGTTGTCTTTTTTAATGTATCACTTAAGGAATGAAGTTAAAAAACTGAAAACAAATCAAACAAACTAATCAAACAAACTCTCTAGTACACATAAAGGACATTTACCATGTATTTTCATAAAATAAAATGCATCACACAAGAATATGTCTTACCATGGTATTACAAGATTTCATTATAACAGGGTTATACATGGGTTTACATGTCAGTTTTGGTAGATATGGGCTGAAGGCAGAATGAACAGGGGGGTTGATGGATGCTGGCCCTGGGTGGCTGGTACCGCCCCTTTGGTCGCCAACTCTACACAGTGGAGAAAAAGAAAATAATAATTTCATTAAAGCAACTCTCCTTTATATTTATATTTATCCATTAGTTTTTTTTCTTACAATTGATCTACTCTTTATTTGGCTACTAATATTGTTTAATTAATATTGTTTAGCTCTTATAACATTACCATTTATCATAACTATTATATTTTTTCTGTTTATTTTACTATTCTATTTTTTTCATTTATTTATCACATATAACATATAAGCACACTCTTTCAAAAATATTTTTGCATGTTTTGTCTTGTCTTTTCAACGAATTGACTTTTTGTTGACTTCCTTATTCACATCTCTATAACAACCAGAGGAAAAATTCAATTCAATTCAGTTTATTTCTATAGCGCAAATTCACAACACATGTCATCTCAAGCACTTTACAGTTCACCAGATCATGCAGTCAAATTGATTCAAAGTTTTCTATCTAAGGAAAACCAGTTGATTGCATCGACTCATTGAATGCACTTGAATGCAATCCCTCATACTAAGCATGCTTGTAGCGACAGTGGAGAGGAAAAACTCCCTTTTAACAGGAAGAAACTTCCAGAAGAACCTGGCTCAGTGTGAGCAGCCATCTGAGGAACAACAATAAATAACTATTTCAGAAGTAAACATAAAAAAATGTTTTCCGATCTAAAGATTTTTTCCATCGCCAGCTGTAAGCGGATTAGCAGAGGCATGCCCGCCACTGCAAACAAGTAAATCAAGAGTACTACCTACCTGCCTGCCTGCCTGCCAGGGCTTTACTTTCCAGTAAATTTCTTCCCAAGTTCAAACGGCTCAAGAAAACTACCAAGAAATCCTGGTTCGTTAAAAGGTTCCTGGCATGGAAATGTGCTTGTTGATCATTGAAACACTGGCGATGGCTGTTTACAAGTAAAGTCACTGGTCCAGATATTTTCTAAAACTTCAACACCCTCCCAGCCCATACGCACCATACAAAGTATGGAAAGTGAAAAATATGCTACACAGACATGACATGGTGGGATGTTCCACATAAATAGCTTAATTCCTCCCACATATCAAGTTTTTCAATACGCCAGAATGTTTTTTTAAGGAATCTCTATCAATTTTCATCGAAATTCATGAAAGAAAATCAAAAAGTGCCCCAAGCTTTGGACCCAGGCGGCTCTTAAACGTTTACTTAACAAAGTGAATAATTTCAAGCAATGATGTAAGTATCGGTTAGCTAGGTATAAACACTTAGCCTCTAAAGGCCTTGTGTTTTCAGTTCAGCCTCTGCTGTTTACTTTGCTTTTAGCCATTGGCAGAGATCTATATTTATAGTTGGTGTTGGTCTTTGTCAGAGGGATCTCTAAAACCAGAAATATGATAAATAATGATGCTTTAAACTAATGTTTACTGAAGCAGTATCTTGTTCAGTTTGTGTTGAGAACATGGATATCAGACCTCGAACTGAAAACAAGACAAATAGATGTTTGGATAACTGAAACTGTGTATGAGCACATAGATAAGAGATGGTTTATGTTTCAGAGGGTAAAATAAAAAGCAATATCCAATTATGCAAAAAGTAAACGTTTTCTGTTTTAATAAACAATGTGTCAAATTACAGATCCATCAGATGCCATGCCGTTTTATACAGCAGCATGAAATGGAAACTGAATCCTAGCTGGACCAACCAGGCTGAACATTTTTTTTTTATCAAGAAAACAGGGAAAAATAAGCTTCAGCCGTTTTATTTTTTATTCTCTTACCTGAAAGTGTGTTGCATTTTGCATCTTTCCGATTTCTTTTCTCCATGCAACAGTGTCCAAAGTTAGGTCACAGGCTGTGCAGACAGTGAAAACAGACATGACAACTCGCTGTTGACTTGAAAGAAGCCAAATGAGGCACACATGCTCCATTTCTCACTGCATTCAAGAAGCACTAGACCAGCCAGGAAAAAAGGAGTCATACCAGATTTAAAGCCAAATAATTTCATAGGGGTCAGGAAAAAAGGCTCCCTGTTTTTTTTTATTGTAAGATTTAATAAGAGGTTAAGTTAATCTTTGTCAGTTAGATCCATAAGAGTATTTTAATACATCTATTTAATAAAAGCAATAGCTGCTTTAAAAAGGATCTGTTAGACTTGAGTGTTTCGCCAGTGATAACAAGAGAATTATTTCACCTTTAGTGAAAAAATCTTTGGTTTTAGGTTTGTTTGGTGTTGTTGAGCTCCTGGATATGATAAGTCACTCCTATTTACTGTGACCATGTTAATCTATCACACATATTCTTCTTTTCTTCTTAGCCTCTGTCTCAAAAATTCCCCCCTTTTTTGTGTCTCTGTAAAAGGTACAAGACGCCAGAGTGTGACGAAGGTGCACGATCTCATGCCGCAGACACAGAGGATCCATTCAACGACAGACCCTTGCAAGGTTCCCTTCCTCTTTCACACTATTTGCTTTGAGCTCAGTGTTGGATTAACTTTTTCTGAGGTTTCAGAACTGATCAGGAGCCAGACTAAAATTTTAGATAGTAATCTACTGAGCAAAAGTATTCAAGCCCCTTGAACTTTTTCACATTTTAGATTTGTACTGAGTCTGCCTTCCTGAACATCTTTTTCTTCAATACTTCTCAAAAACCTTTATCTACCTCGACAATCCCGACTTGCAGGTGTAGCAGAAAGGAAACAAAAGTTAGATTAGTATTAAAACAGACTTTTTAAAGACATAATTCATCACAGTTATGTAGGAAATTAGCTCAGAAAATAGATTTAAATAGTTTGTAATAATCCAAATATCTTAAATAACTGCGGCGATGTCTACTTTTTCTTTTATTCAGTTCAATTGAATTGATTACATTGCCCCAATTCACATCAGCTGTCATCTCAAGGCGTTTTATAGAAAAAATTCAATCAAATCAACCATTAAGATTTTTTTTCAAATTAAGATTTTTTTTCAGTATGCAGCCGATAGTTTGGCTGTTGCAGATTCTCCTACCTGAGCTGCAGATTTCTCCAGCTTATTCGAGTTTCTCTTTGTTGCATCTGATTAATGCAGCTATTGTTCAGCCTGCTAGTTCAGTCAGATGGCCTGTCTGACTGAACATAACTGTGACCTGACCCTGTTCTATAATGCTCCACAACTTAATCCTTGACATTTTTTGTGTGCAGTTAACGACATTTCTTGTTCACTAATGTTTTTTTAGCAATCTCTTTAGGCCTTTACAGATCAACTGGATTTATTTAAGATTATATTACACTCTGCAGAATTGTATTTCTTAATTGAGTGACTATTGAAGGCAGACGGTTGCAGCGTACAGTATATATATAAAACAATCTAGTTAGAAGTACTATAAATAAGGCATTTGCAAAAAAACGGCAAGAAAAATACCCAAAAAATAATTAAATACCAAAGAACAGTAATCAAAAAACTACATGACAAAATAATTCAGTGGCTCCAGCCAGTAATATGCCGTGCCATTTGCCGGCGAGCCACCGGAACTGCTGCAACGAGCCACGATGAGCCATCGGAACTGTCACCAGAACTGCTGCAACGCAGCCACTGCCACGAATTGAGCTCGGCCCTGCTGACGCGGAGCAACGGCGGGGCTGACACAGCTCGCGCTGCTGCGGGTGTGAACGGCTTACGTGATGAAACAAGTTGGTTGCGTTACCAGACTTTGTTTTTACCGGTTTCTTGCAAGTTTTACAAATCACTGTGGTTTATTTCTGTCAGACTGGCGAACTAGTAAAACCCTGTTTTGGGACCGTTTCCTCCGCCGCTCTTTGCTGCGACATATTCACCTGCCTTGTGTTGTGGTTTGAGAGGGCTGCTCTTTGTGACAGCGTGCCTGGGTCCGCGATTACGATTGGTCGAGAGGAAGTAGTGACTGTAGCATCAACTAATATGATAGATCAATTTGTTAAATCTAAACATTGTGGTCTTCATTATTTCATAAAACCGTGTAAGATGTGAACCTTTAGGAACAGACTTTTTGGGGGAGTATTAAAGAGGTAAAATTAATAAAGGAAAAAAAGTCCTAGGTCAATAAAGTAAAAAAAAAAAAATAAAAAAAAAAAAAGTGATAATGTTATGAGAAAAAGGTCATTATGAGAATTAAGAGGGAATTTCCAGAATAGTCACAGTTTGCAGAATTATTTCAACTCTGGAGTAATAAGGCCAGGTTAGATTATGTTAAATATTTTTATTCTTTAGGAGAATAAATTCAGGAGAATGAAGCTAAAGGGATACGAAAATAAACTTGTAATATTACAAAAACAAAAATACTACGAATACAAAGTATATTCAGAGATTAAAGTCCCTCTGATACTGTTTAAGTGACTGAGAAACTGCAGATTTGCCACATTTAAGATGGCGGACGCTCTGACGCATCTCAGCATAGGCAGAATCCACCCAATGACGCATCTACTCTTATATTATGTCTATGATGTAGCCCACATTTTATTCTGACAAGCCATGAATAGGGAGGGAAAGTGAAAACCAGCGCCCCAAGTGGTTGCGCTCCTATTGAAGAGCAGCTCAAGTTATGTGAAGCCAAATCAGCGAAGTTATCCACCAAAAATATTTTTCAATGTGTATACAGTAATAATCTTCTAACTGTGAAAATGTCAGGCCCTACTTTGCCTTATTTAAAAAAAAAATCAAAATTGCTCCTTTTGTTTCATAAATGGACCACAAAAAAAGTCGTGTGACGTTATTCACGGTAGCATGATTTGTTTATTAGCCTGGTTAGCATGGACAATTACTGAGTCGAAGCACAACACCAGTTATCCAGACATAAAGGTAATCACCATGCAGTTTACATCATGCTCCGTTATTACAAAAATATGCCAGATAAGCGCCCAAACCTGTGACGTCACATGCAACTGTAGTTCACCATGTTAAGACAAAAACGCAAAACAATTCAACTGATCCTAAAAATAAGGTATAACCACTAGAAGCAAAAGAGGTGACTACAGTGGCGAACATATGGAAGGCACTAAATTAGATCCCCATGTGCACCGAGATATAGTTTTTCTAAAAAAAAAAAAATCCCATCCACTCACTGAGCTATATAATACACTGGAGTGCTGATTTTGCCGAAAAACTGAAGTCACTGGCCGCCATCTTGCTACTCCTTAGTCTCACAGAATCTCATAGGATTTGGTTGCAACAACAAGCAATTTCCTGGCTGTGTGAAAACGTTTCACAGGTAATTCTACAGTCAGTGGATGTTCTAACACTATCAACTACTAGGAAATTAGGTTCTAAAATATTTTACATGTTATTCATATTAAATATATATATATATAAATATACAAAAATATTTATTTACATATATGTATATATATATATATATATATATATATATATATATATATATATATATATATATATATATATATATATATATACCATAAAATGCAAAATATTTGAGCACATGAATTTCTCAGTACTTGATAGTTTTAGAACATAACATAAAACTATATGGCATTTGACATTTTAAAAGTTTTAAGCACCCCCTGAACATGAGAAAATCCTCGTTATTCGATGCTGTAGCGCACATATTCCCTAGTTACTGGGGGGAAATATGGAGTACCAATATGGCGGCTGGTGGCTTCAAAGTGACTCGTTCTAACAGCTGGCGATTAGCACTCCAATGTATAATATAGCTCAGTGCATCCCCTCTCTGCATGGCTTTGGATGAGGTTCATGCACTAAAATAGGCTATCATAGGCTACTGTAATGGCATAAACATGTTGCATTGATCTACGTTAACACTGCAAACGACATGACATCAACAAAACACATTAGTAGGGTTAGCCTATTTCTAACCCAGTCAGTCAGACCACCTGTTACTCGAATACAAATAACATTAATTAAGTTAAACATATTCTTGCAGCCCGCATCACATAGCCTACCTTTTCGTTTTCGAGTTTCTGAATAAACTCTTCGCTGACACCTCTATCTTTCAAGAAGTCCCTCAGGCTACTGTACTTTTGTTAAGGGTTGTAAGCTGTGCTGAATACAACAAGGACTCTCCAAACTTTTTAGACAGTTTTGAAAATAACTGAAAATAACTTTCATTTTCCTTTTTCTTTAAAGCTATCTGCTACTCTGAGCTGGTCTATCACATAAAAACCTAGTTAAGGAGTATGTGACATCATGACAAAATGTAGGACGTTCAAGTGGTATGAATACTTTTGCACTTACTTTTCCCCCAAAGAAATTATATAAGAAAACATCTAACATGAACATTCATGTTAGATGTTTTCTGAAAATAATTTTGGTTACATTAAATTTGATGCAATAGTTTAGAATCTTATGAGTTTAAGATTCATGTATAATTAACATGTTACATTGTCGTGGAAGTTTGGCATGCTGCCTAGAAATGATTTTGCAGATGAGCCAACAAAACCCCAAAGTGATTTCTACAGAACTCTCTCTTTCTTACTTATGCTGCTGTCTTTACTGCTCCGTTAACTTTCCCCCAATGTTTCTCCAGTATTTAGGGGATGCATTGTAACTCATATTTAAATACCCATCTGGTGAGTTTACAGAGTCGAGCATACTCCTGACTGTGAAGCAGATGTGTGGCAGGTTTTATGGAAGGTGCAAGTTTTGTGGGTTTGAGTTGATAGGGGCTGCAGGGCCAAGGGGGCGGTTGAGGGTGTTGAAGACATTTTTATGTACTGTAGAAGGATTTTTCTTAACCACCACAACAAAACCAAACTACTTTGCATAGAAATACAAATATTATCTGATTTGTTTAAATTACAGTCACAAATTTCAATTGATGTTATGAATTAAATAAACCGATAGGAGGGGATAATTTTGCAGCTCACCTGTATAAAATAAACTGGCAAGGAGAGCATCCGGCAGAATTGCAGCGAAATTAGGGAGGACAACAAATATATTAAAGAGTAAGATGTGGTTGGAAGAGACCACAATGAAACTTTTTAGCCTATGAGCCTAGATCTGACATTTGATTTATTTTAAAACTTGCAAAACTGCACACCCCCCTAAACACACTTTATTTATTCAAATATAAGAAAATTTGATTAGGCCACTTTCACCATCATAAGAGGCAATGTTTATACCAATTTCTGTGTGTAAAAAATATCTATTCTAACCTTGCCCAAGCTCAGAATACTGAGTAAGTATTAGGGAAAAAAAGGGGGTAAGGAGGGGATGATGTCCAGTTTAGTTCGGACTGGGAACCCAGTCCACTCATCCAGGAAAGGAGGGGACAATGAGGGGATGATGTCTTCTTCAGGGAGACTGTCCTCTCATCCAACAGGCAGCGCTTGGAAAGATTCTAGGTATTCTAACGAGAAACAACTGAGGCGGATCTGCAGGGTTTAATTTGATCACTTGCAGCACCTTTGAGAGGACGTCTTCTCAGGGCGGCCGCCAATACAGTAGCTCCATAGCAATAGCAGTAGCTGCATAGCTTCCAAAACGTGACCTAACCAGTGGGGCGTGGTTCAGCACTTCGCAGTGGCACATCGGCAAATAGCAGTGGGGCCCGGGCTGTTCTGTTGGTGACAAATGAGGGTCAAACATTCGGAAGAACTGGATAGTGTTTTTACTCATCTGCTTCAGCATGCGGGTTCGCGATGAAAAACATTGTGTTCAACTTGGTTTGTCAGGAAGTAAGCACTATGTTCACTATGTTCTCAGTTCTCTCTGAATCTCTTGCCACTGAGCACAGACTTTCCGGCAGGAAAGGTGACTACGTAATGTGGCTTCAGTTGAAGACCGATGTGTCTAACCCTTTAGACCTGAGGGGCCAATGGGCAAAGAAAGAGAAAAATGGGGTTGTCCGATCCTTAAATAATCTCTGTCGCAGGGATGTGACTAGGGCTGCAACAACGAATCGATAAAATCGATAAAAATCGACTTTTAAAAGCGTTGGCAACAAATTTCATCATCGATTAGTTGTGTCGCGCGATTAATGCGTCATCCGCCGCGCCGTCATCACTGCCTCTTGACTGAAAGAGGAAGAAAAAAAAATACGGCAGAGCGTGCCAGCACCGTAGGTGCGCAGTGTTGCAAACTCAGCGACTTTGTCGCTATATTCAGCGACTTTTCAG